CCTGAGGGGAATTTGAGGGGGGGGGGAGATGAAGATTAAGGGGGGCACACTCGGAGGGGGATGGGAAATTGGGGGGGGGTCATTAAGAGGAGACATAACGAAGAAAGTAATTAACGGGGAGGAATAAATGCTCCCCTCCCCCTCAAGTGGACTCCTCCCCCATTGTCACACCCCCTGCCGTGGGGGGGTAATTAACTCCTTCGGGGTAATTGCGGTGGGGGGCGCAATTAAACATTCTGCACGGGATTTTGGGGGGAGGGGGCGTGTCAAACCCCTGGGATATTTTGGGGGAGGGGTCGGTTGTGACCCTGGGGGGTTTGGGGGGGGACAGAAGGGGATTGACCCCCAGATTTGGGGACAGCCCCTCCGAAGAGACCTATATGAGGGGGGTCTCTATGCCCAAACCCCTTTCTGAGGAGGGGGTCAGTGCCAGTGGGGGGGTTTTGGGGGTGTCCCCCACATCCAGACCCCCCTGATCCTCCCAGAAGGGTCGAACTGGGGGGGCTCAGGTCCTTGGTTTGGGTTTTGGGGTGTCCCCCATATCCAACCTCCCCCCACCAAAAGGACAGGCACGGTTAATTTTGGGGATTTTTGGGGTGTCAGGTAGTTTTTGGGGCGTCCCCCATATCTGACCCCCTTGTCCCCCCTCGGGATGGGCAGTGTAGGGGGGTGTCAGTTCATTTTTACGATTTTTGGGGTGGCCCCCTTATCTGACCCCCCGTGTCCCCCCAGCACAGGCAGCGTAAGGGGTGTCAGTTAATTTTGGGGATTTTTGGGGTGTCCCCCATATCTGACCCCCTTGTCCCCCCTCGGGATGGGCAGTGTAGGGGGGTGTCAGTTCATTTTTACGATTTTTGGGGTGGCCCCCTTATCTGACCCCCCGTGTCCCCCCAGGACAGGCAGCGGGGGGGGGGGGAATGTGGCAGTGGGGGGGGAGTCAGGTAATTTCGGTGATTTTTGGGGTATCCCCTATATCTGACCCCCCGTGTCCCCCCAGCACAGGCAGCGTAAGGGGTGTCAGTTAATTTTGGGGATTTTTGGGGTGTCCCCCATATCTGACCCCCATGCCCCCCCCCCCAGGACAGGCAGTGTTGGGGGGTGTCAGGTCATTTTGGGGGTTTTTGGGGTGTCAGTTCATTTTGGGGATTTTTGGGTTATCCCCCGTGTCTGACCCCCCGTGTCCCCCCAGGACAGGCAGCAGGGGGGTGTCAGTTAATTTTTGGGATTTTTGGGGTGTCAGTTAATTTTTATGATTTTTGGGTTATCCCCCGTGTCTGACCCCCCGTGTCCCCCCAGGACAGGCAGTGTGGGGGGTGTCAGTTATTTTTAGGATTTTTGGGGTGTCAGTTAATTTTTATGATTTTTGGGTTATCCCCCGTGTCTGACCCCCCGTGTCCCCCCAGCACAGGTAGCGGGGGGTGGGGGCAAACTGCACGAGTACAACACAGGGGGGGCTCCTGGGGGGCACAGGGGGTGTGGGGGTCCCCAGAGGGGTGGGATTGGGGGTCATTCCTGGTGTCCCTGCTGTGTCCCTGTCCCCGTTTTGTCCTCAACTGCCACCCAGCAGTGGTTCATTTGGGGGGGTCGTTCTCGGTGTGTCCCTGTCCCCTGTGTGTCCCCCCCAGCCCCCCGGCAGTGGTTCATTTGGGGGGGTCATTCTCGGTGTGTCCCTGTCCCCTGTGTGTCCCCCCCAGCCCCCCGGCAGCGGTTCATTTGGGGGTTCAGGGGGGTCGTTCTCGGTGTGTCCCTGTCCCCTGTGTGTTTGTCCCCAGCTGCCACCCAGCTCCGGTTCATGCCACCAGTTTGGGTGGGATCATTGTCAGTGTGTCACTGTCCCCACAGCCACCGACTGGTGATTGAGGGGGTCCTTCTCACTGTCCCCCCTGTGTCCCTGTGTCCCCACAGCCACCGACTGGTGATGCAGGGGGTCCTTCTCACTGTCCCCCTGTGTCCCTGTGTCCCCACAGCCACCAACCAGGGCTTCACCCTGGGGTTCAGGGGATTGTTCTGTGTCCCCTCTTGTGTCCCCCCCTGTGTCCCTGCCACAGCCACCAACCAGTGATTTATTCTGGGGGTTCAGGGTATTGTTTTGTGTCCCCTTTTCTGTCACTGTCCCCCCTGTGTCCCTGTCCCTGTGTCCCCACAGCCAGCAACCATGGTTCACCCTGGGGTTCAGGGGGTCGTTCTCACTGTCCCCCCTGTGTCCCTGTCCCTGTGTCCCCACAGCCACCAACCAGGGCTTCATCCTGGGGTTCAGGGGATTGTTCTGTGTCCCCTCTTGTGTCCCTGTCCCCTGTGTCCCCACAGCCACCAACCAGTGATTTATTCTGGGGGTTCAGGGTATTGTTTTGTGTCCCCTTTTCTGTCACTGTCCCCCCTGTGTCCCTGTCCCTGTGTCCCCACAGCCACCAACCATGGTTCATTCTGGGGGTTCAGGGGGTCGTTCTCACTGTCCCCCTGTGTCCCCACAGCCACCAACCAGTGGTTCATCCCGGCCGTGCGGGGGGACATCCCCCCGGGCTGTGCCGCCTACGGCTTCGTGTGCGACGGCACGCGGCTGCTGGTGTTCGGGGGCATGGTGGAGTACGGCAAGTACAGCAACGACCTCTACGAGCTGCAGGTACCCCAGCCTGGGGAACCCCCCCTGAGCACCTGGGGAAACCCCCTGAGCACCTGGGGAACCCCTGAGCACCTGGGGAACCCCTGGGGGACCCCCTGAGCACCTGGGGATGTCCCCAGCACCTGGGGAACCCCTGGGGGCCCCCCTGAGCACCTGGGGAAAACCTGAGCACCTGGGGAGCCCCTTGAGCACCTGGGGAACACCCTGAGCACCCAGGGAACCCCCTGAGCACCTGGGGAACACCTGGGGAGCCCCCCTGAGCACCTGGGGAAAACCTGAGCACCTGGGGAGCCCCCGAGCACCTGGGGAACACCTGGGAACCCCTCCATAGCACCCGGGGAGCCCCTGAGCACCTGGGGAACACCTGGGGAACCCCCCTGAGCACCTGGGGAACACCTGGGGAACGCCCCTGAGCACCTGGGGAACCCCTGAGCACCTGGGGAACCCCTGGGGGACCCCCTGAGCACCTGGGGACCCCCTGAGCACCTGGGGAACACCTGGGAACCCCTCCATAGCACCCGGGGAGCCCCTGAGCACCTGGGGAACCCCTGAGCACCTGGGGAACCCCTGGGGGACCCCCTGAGCACCTGGGGACCCCCTGAGCACCTGGGGAACACCTGGGAACCCCTCCATAGCACCCGGGGAGCCCCTGAGCACCTGGGGAACCCCTGAGCACCTGGGGAACCCCTG